ATCTTCTTGACCCTCAATACTATATCACACTGGGGATTGCTATGCTCTGCATACTCCCTTGAGCTTTTAATCACTTAGCTCTTTTAAGAGCTGTTCCTGTTACGCTCTCCTGGAGGAGAGGTCTTCCCCACACGGTCCTGGATGCTGGAGGTTCATACAGGGTTGAAGGAAGACGGCGGTGGTTGTGGTGCCTGCTGCACTGCTTGGAGTCCTCAGGAAGCCCTAGAAGCATCCTTCAACGGAGGTACCCAGTCGGGGTGCCAGGTGATCCGTTACACTAATATATGTACTTATATTAATATTAAAATTCACTTTGTATGACGTTACATATATATAATATGTATATATAGTATATATATATATATATATATATATATATATATATATAATAGATATATACACATATATTATATATATAAATACATTTCTATTTTAATTTTACACATGTTTAATTCTTTTTTTTTTTTTTACTTTACCACCAGCAGGGGAACTCTAGCATTTCAGACAGTCCCCCTGCTGGCAGATTCACAGCCAGCTATAGGGGGCCATGTGATTGTTCTTTGAGTAGAGGTTCATACATACCTATCTGGTGAAGCTGTACTGAAATAAAGATGCAATGGAAAAAGATTTTTGTTCTTATATATAAAATGATAGAATATAGACTTACGATTGTGCCAGAGGTAGCTTTATTGCATTTGAGATGGCCTAAGTTAAAAAAGATGGAAAGAAATTTCATTATACATTGTTTTGTAGCTTTTAAAATTCTAATAGTCAGAAACTGGGAAACTAACTAACTGGCCAGCAACAATGCCCTCATCATAGTGGGCTTAAGGTGTATTAATCTGTGGCCCTAGGAGAGCTTACTTACCCCGTATCAGATCCTGTGGCCTGGAGCACATAGGGTAGGAAAAGCAGCCGGTCTCCTGTCCCAGGTTGTTCGGCAGCGGACAACAGCACACATATGCCTTGGACAGTCCCCTCATGAGATACCCTGCTGTTACTAGAGCGCAGAGTGAGGCAGCATGGATGGTGAAACCATGCAGTGACTTCCCCAAAATGGCAGACAATGCATGCATTGATGGCCCCTGTGCCGCTAATGTTAATGTTTTGGCTTCTCTGGACTAAATATTTTCAAATTTCTGGCAGAAGTTTGATCAAAAACTTGCCCCACTGCAGAAGAGCGGATACTTACCTTGAAAAGCACCCTCTGGAAGACCTTGGTCCCAGCAGTTCTCGATGCCTTGCGTACCTTGAGAGAGCGGCAGAGAGCAAAGCGCACCTTACTCCTGTCTAAAGTGTCACAGAGAAAGACAACGTGGTGGTCTATAGCCAAAGTCTGAGACATCTCAAGAGACATCTCAAGAGAACAAAAAACAACATCCATCCTGGCTATGAAGATGAGCAGTATGCAACCCTGATGCAGGACTATGCTCTGCCCACAGTAGGCATTGGATGAAAGAGGCTTGGGGAAAGGAAACTCTTCTACTCTTGGCTACATACTTGTCACCATTTTATTAGTGATATCTGTGGGACACATCTGTCCAACTGTCTCATCCTTTAGTGTAGTTTGCATTATTTCTATTATTTTGTCCAACATTTCTCATTTCTCACATCTCCTTAATCAGTTTGTCTTGGGGGGCCTTCTGTGGGCACAATCTTGGTAAATTAATCGTCTGTTTCATTTTGCTGACAGTACTTTCACTGTTTCACTACCTTCACACCGTTTGTACTTTATTTGACATGATGTTTTACTTGTCTATAGTTCACTCCCATATGGTGATGTGCTTAAACATTGACTTGTATTAATCAAAAACATGCGTAGCTAACTAGCTTATTCGAAAAGCATTCTACAAAGAAGGTTAAGCATTTTTTTGTGTTTGAAATGTATGCACTTGATTTGCAACAGAATGTTTTGGATGCTTGCACTTTTGCTATATGTTGCACAATTATTGAACCTTTTTGTGATTTTGCACAAACACATGGTTTTATGCACTATTTTGAATAAGCATTGTATTTAATAGAATATGGTGCACAAATATTTGTTTGGCACACTTTCAAAGGTATAGTGAACTTTATATTTTGGATTTTGATCATTTTATTAATGTTTATATAAAGTTCCAAAACAAAACATTTTAGACTAATAATTTCGTGAGTGCTGTACTCCAATCATTGTCATATATATCTTTTAAGAATTGCAAAAATATGTTTTTAACCCCCTTTCATTTATAAAAAGGTCATAAATATACCTTTTATACAGGACCACGTTTGCCCCACTGCCATGCTTATGATAATAAACAACTTCTCCCAATATGACAGAAATAGTTGGGCATAGGTTGATGCAAACTTGGTCCTTATACCTGTACCATAATTTGTAGGTAATAATTATTAATGAAGTGGAAGAAAATATTATTTCAAATTATATTTATTACCTCCAAAATAAATCTACTTGTGTATCTGTAATGCATACAGTCAGGTCCATAAATATTGGGACATCGACACAATTCTAATCTTTTTGGCTCCATACACCAACACAATGAGTTTGAAATAAAACAAACAAGATGTGCTTTAACTGCAGACTTTTAGCTTTAATTTGAGGGTATTTACATTCAAATCAGGTGAACGGTGTAGGAATTACAACAGTTTGTATATGTGCCTCCCACTTTTTAAGGGACCAAAAGTAATGGGACAGATTAATAGTCATAAATCAAACTTTCACTTTTTAATACATGGTTGCAAATCCTTTGCAGTCAATTACAGCCTGAAGTCTGGAACGCATAGACATCACCAGACGCTGGGTTTCATCCCTGGTAATGCCCTGCCAAGCCTCTACTGCAACTGTCTTCAGTTCCTGATTGTTCTTGGGTCATTTTCCCTTCAGTTTTGTCTTTATCAAGTGAAAAGCATGCTCAATCGGATTCAGGTCAGGTGATTGACTTGGCCATTGCATAACATTCCACTTCTTTCCCTTAAAAAACTCTTTGGTTGCTTTTGCAGTATGCTTTGGGTCAGTGTCCATCTGCACTGTGAAGCGCCGTCCAATGAGTTCTGAAGCATTTGGCTGAATATGAGCAGATAATATTGCCCGAAACACTTCAGAATTCATCCTGCTGCTTTTTTCAGCAGTCACATCATCAATAAATACAAGAGAACCAGTTCCATTGGCAGCCATACATGCCCACGCCATGACACTACCACCACCATGCTTCACTGATGAGGTGGTATGCTTTGGATCATGAGCAGTTCCTTTCCTTCTCCATACTCTTCTCTTCCCATCACTCTGATACAAGTTGATCTTGGTCTCATATGTGAATAGGATGTTGTTCCAGAACTGTGAAGGCATTTTTTAGATGTTGTTTGGCAAACTCTAATCTGGCCTTCCTGTTTTTGAGGCTCACCAATGGTTTACATCTTGTGGTGAACCCTCTGTATTCACTCTGGTGAAGTCTTCTCTTGATTGTTGACTTTGACACACATACACCTACCTCCTGGAGAGTGTTCTTGATCTGGCCAACTGTTGTGAAGGGTGTTTTCTTCACCAGGGAAAGAATTCTTCAGTCATCCACCACAGTTGTTTTCCGTGGTCTTCCGGGTCTTTTGGTGTTGCTGAGCTCACCGGTGCGTTCTTTCTTTTTAAGGATGTTCCAAACAGTTGATTTGGCCACACCTGATGTTTTTGCTATCTCTCTGATGGGTTTGTTTTGTTTTTTCAGCCTAATGATGGCTTGCTTCACTGATAGTGACAGCTCTTTGGATCTCATATTGAGAGTTGACAGCAACAGATTCCAAATGCAAATAGCACACTTGAAATGAACTCTGGACCTTTTATCTGCTCCTTGTAAATGGGATAATGAGGGAATAACACACACCTGGCCATGGAACAGCTGAGCAGCCAATTGTCCCATTACTTTTGGTCCCTTGAAAAGTGGGAGGCACATATACAAACTGTTGTAATTCCTACACCGCTCACCTGATTTGGATGAAAATACCCTCAAATTAAAGCTGAAAGTCTGCAGTTAAAGCACATTTTGTTCATTTCATTTCAAATCCATTGCGGTGGTGTATAGAGCCAAAAAGATTAGAATTGTGTCGATGTCCCAATATTTATGGACCTGACCATATTAAAAACTGGGTAATAATTATTTGGAGGATATCAAGGTAAAATCTAAAGAATGTCTGGACAAAGGGGCAAGTAAAGGCATTTTAAATAACAAAGAATATATTTTTTTAAATGTAGAGTACCCAAAAGTTTATATTTTACACACGATTAATAAGGACAAAGAGAGCCCACTGGTACCACCTACTGTATCAGGGGTTGGTTCTCTTCTTTCACCCCTATCGCAATACATTGGTACATTGTCAAAAAATGTCTGGTGTATCTAAAAAATACTATCAGTTTATTACAAACTTTACAAGTTTTTGTTGGGAGGGAGGTTTTTTCAATGTCAATATACCATGTTAGCAGCCTACATACTAATATTCAACATAAAGGCTGTAAGGCAATAGGATACTTTTTAGAAAAATAAGGTGAGATTCTGGATACGCAAGGGTTAACTATTTTAATTAATTTAACATCTACCTACCACTGTGATATCTAAGCTTTTAACTTCCAGGATTTTACAAAGTCATGATGGAAAGTCATGAATTAATTAACACAAAGGCAAATATTAACCCTTCTCTTTTATTATAAATAATGTATTCTCACTATTATTTATTTATATATGGTCTTTATTTCTTTGACAAATTTATTTTTGTATGAATAATTTATTATATTGACATCTTCATATTTCCTATGTATTATACATTATATTTCTGAATATGTAATTTCAAGATATAATGCATTGTTTAGTTTCTGTTGCAGCTCAACTTTGAAGTTTGTATTTCATTGATTGTATCATCTTTTCTGAATATTTTTTTATGAGGGTATATCTTTGGTTTTCTTCACTTTGCTCCAGATGACAAAAAACATTTTTTTTTGTAAATATCTTTTTATTGAAATTTTTCAGGGTTTCAAAAAAGTAGAGTGCAAAGAAACGCGCAGGTTTCAGATTTAAAACATAATGATTGATCGGTCGAGATACGCAGATCTCCGATATAACAATAGAGAATGAGACACGCAGGTCTCGAGGCAAACTAAGCGCCAAACATATGAAACAAATTTGTGCAGCATCGATTCACACTAAAGGACCACTATAGGCACCCAGACCACTTCAGCTTAATGAAGTGGTCTGGGTGCCAGGTCCAGCTAGGGTTAACCCTTTTTTTTTATAAACATAGCAGTTTCAGAGAAAATGCTATGTATATAAATGGGTTAATCCAGCCTCGAGTGGCTGTCTCTTGACAGCCGTTAGAGGCGCTTGCGTGCTTCTCACTGTGAAAATCACAGTGAGAAGACGCCAGCGTCCATAGGAAAGCATTGTAAATGCTTTCCTATGAGACTGGCTGAATGTGCACGCAGGTCCTGCCGCGCATGCGCATTCAGCCGACGAGGAGGAGAGGAGGAGGAGAGCTCTGGAGAAATAGGTAAGTTTAACCCCTTCCTCCCCCCTCAGCGCCACGGGAGTATGTTTTCCTGGCACTATAGTGGTCCTTTAACAAATGAGAGGCACTTTCAATATGACCTATCTGTCTGCGGTTGATGTCTATCTACATCTACTCTCGCATGTTGTTTTTCAGGCATTGCAAACTACAGAGTATGGGCGTGCTGATCTGACCCTCTATTGGTACTCGTGCTAGCATTACCCTGACAGGTCCGTTTGAGAGTGTCTGTAAGGGATACATGTGCCAATTGGCCTCACAGGTCCTAGGTATCGTTTAATATCGATGGGGCAGGGGGTGCAGACAGTTATTGCTTGACATTTGTGCATGCATATCAAGGTATCTAGAGTCATGTCTTCGGTGTCTCTTTGTATGTGGTGACTATTTGGATGCATACTCAGAGATCAATCCTGTTTTTTCCCCCTGTGTATGCAGCGGGGAATAGGACTGCTCTTTGTCGCGGGCTCCGTTGGTCGCGGGCCTGGAATAGAGCTTTCAATTACCCAGGGCCTGTCTGTGTCCTTATTTGTGTCAGGGAGATTCATTTTGTGTGTGTGGTCTGTGTGTAGTTTTAACGTCTGTTCGGCTTAGGTGTGCGAGTTGTAGGTCTCCCTTGGGTTGCGGTGTGTGTTCCCCTGACTGTCAGGCATTGGTTGTAGGTCCTTAGTGTATTTGCCAAGTGTAATCTTGGGGCTTGTATGTCTCTGAGTGTGTGGGTGCCTTCGGGGCCTCAGGAATGTATTGCCAGGTCTCCCTGCCTCTTGGTCCTGTTTGTTCCTCATGTATGTGCATATTGTCATCCCTGGTGAGTCTAGTGTGATCCTGGAGGAGCCGTGTTCCCTTAAGTTACATGTCGGGGGGGCCCTATATGTCGGGGCCCAGGTGTAACTGCGCAGTACGTGGTGTTTAATCTCTATGTCCTGACTCGCTTGTAGCTCTGTTGCCTCCCCTGCTCTTTCTCCACCTCCCTCCCCATCTAAGCATCTAAGTTCTAGTGGTTGTTCCATCTGGTTGGTAGGTTATCTGCCCACCCTCCTATTGGGTGGGTGTGGTCCTTGTGGACCCATTTCGGTATCTGCATCTCATCATTGTATTGTGTGTCCACAGTGGTCTCTGTGGTCCGTTGTGTTCTGGTTGTGTGGCGTGCCGCCCCCCCAAAACCTGCTCCACCTGCAGCCAATCAATGAACTGTGTGTTGTCCCCTGGGCATTCCAAGCGGACAAAAAGCATTTGTTACTGCATTTGGATTTGACAATGTTGATTTTTGTTTCAGTTATGTTTGGATTTCAATTGGTTCCAGCATCAAAGAAAGAGGACTACGGAAGGTTTGTTCAGCCTTTTTCTTACCAGTGACATGTGATGGGTGTGATATCACTAGTATTTTCATAAATATTTTTGTATTGAAGTTTATGTTATGTTAAAAATGTTTGCTGCTATTTGGGAGTGTGTTAAAGAAAATCATGAATCCATTATGATTTAGTAAAATCCTGGAACTGTTTCTGTCTCTCCTACTCCTCTGGTTCCGCCTCCTCCCTCATCTGGTCATCAATTTTGGGTTTAGGTTCTAACGCTAATTCTCCAATCTCAGCTACAAGGCAGTAATTTGGTGTATCTTTCTTAGCATTTCCCAATTCACCAATCAAGGATGATAAGGAGGCTTCCCTAGCTTGTGGTGCAGCTTTCAAAAATCAATAGCATATTCTAGCCCTAAATCCTGGTCTGGTCCTTTCAAATTCTCTTTCTTTAGTCCTGCCATACAAACGTGTAATGTCATCTTCAGTTTTGAACAAGTGAATGTAGGTTCAGTATTAATGGGAGAGAAATATTACCAATATGTTATGGCGCACCATACAAAGCAACAGAAATAACCTCTAATCTATATAACCCTCCAAAAAAACTACTTATGATATGATCCATACCTATGGATATAATATTTAACAACACTGTATAAATGCCAGCTATGCTAGCTGGCTGCACAAATGAGCCAGATACTCTGACTGGCTAACACAAGGCAAACTATACTGTTCATGAAGAAACCTCACAAGGGAACAACACCATATAACTACTGATCAATCGCCTGCCCCCACCAAAAAAAAAAAACATGGAAGGTCCTATCAAGCATCATAGCCTCCAAGATCAATGAGCATATGAGTCAGTTTATGAGCAATACTTAAAAGGAGATTATAAACAATACCAGAGGATCACAACATACCAACTACTGCTAGAACAAGCAGTCACATGGGATTCTACAGAGAGTAAGACAGATCCTAAATTCCCAGCTTAATGTCAAGAACAAGAGCCAAATCATTAACGTATATGGTGTATCAGTCACCAGGTATCCAGCTGGAATAGTAGCCTGTCCATGCATGTCAAAACCCAGAAAATTCTCACTATGAATGGATGCGTTAACCTTAAATCCAACACCCAGAGACTTTACACCAGCCGAAAGGAAGGTTCTGATGATGAAACACAGAGCATCTACAAGTACATCACAAAGATGGCTCCAAAAGATAAACTGGTAACGGAATACCTGAGACAACAACAGATAGAGGATACATAAAATGTCCATGGTACCAGCCTCTCCATGGGTTGTGCCACCGGCAGATACCACTATATACTAAGCATTCCTGTATCCATATGTGTGGCATTGGGCTCAATCATGCCAATAGTTGGATAATGCAAGACTGAAAAACTGCACTGAGGCTCTAAACCTATGTTACCCAAGGTACAGACTGTGCAAAGAGCCAGTCCAGCACCTAGTAGCCAGATGCAAATGTTAGCAACTTAGTGACCAGCAATGTATCTCTTGTAGGTAAAACTATTATGATATAGTGTATTCACTATTGGGATGAAGATAAGGACAAATTGCAACATATAAATGAATTACATATACAGAGCTGTCATGATAGCCCTATATAAGAAATATCTGTATGAATAGTAATGTGTAAAGTGTTCCCACTTACTTGGGAATCAATCTTGGCGGAGCTGTGTGGATTGCAAGGCTAAATAGGACCCAGGAATGAGGCATCTGTGACAAGGAGAAGTGCAAAATCCAGGGAGATGGCATGGTCTCCCAAAACATATATGTGAAACCAAGAAGGTTGCACTAATTTCAACATGCATATATTATAAGGGTGCTGTTGGGACCAATTAACTTAACATACATAATCCAATGCACTCAATCTCTAAGCACCAACTCAAAGCTCACAAAATATAATTTTGTTTTGTTTTTTACAAACACCTGACTTGAGGGATGAGAAAGTAAATTTTATATTTATTTTATTTAATCTCTCGATTATTAGTTGTTAGGTGACACAGGCACTTCAGATCACTTTTATGATACAAAAAATTGTCACATATTAAATTTCAATCCTTTATTGTGACAATACCAAATGCAAAGCTGTCTTCAAGAACAATAACTAGTATCCTTGTCTTGGTAATGCTTGTCTGCAGAAGGAAGAAAGAATATACAACATAATCCTACAAATATTTATGATGGTATAACAGATCCATAACCTTCTTCTACAGATCGGCTAATTCCATTCTTGCGGTAGAATTCCAAGCGTACCAACCCAACCTTTGCATGATCTCTAGTCATTTTATCTACATGGAGTTGTAAGTGTCTTCCATATTCTGAGTTGCTTAATAATGCCACTGGTCTGGAGATTTCCTACAATAAAAACACATTAACAGCTTTAATATAAAAAAAATAAAAAAACATCATGAATGCATTTCAAGCTATTGAAATCTGTCTTACTAGTAAACCTGTTCTCTATCAATCCATTATAACTTATTTGAAAACTATTAGTACTTATACAATATTTATGTGGTTGTATTTTTTTTAAACTTAGTGTAACAGATTAACACACTAACATATTACAGCAACAGATTATGGAATATAAGTGTACATTTCTTAATAATTTCTTAAGTAATGCACCCCTGCATTTACATGCTACAATTCCTTATAAATAAAGACACATATCTATTCTATATTCCAATAGAACACTGTAAATAACCTCTTGCATTTTATCTACACAAAATATTCTTTGACTTATTAGCATTATACAAATGCATCACTATTTTTACGCATACAATATTTTGAAATTACATATTCATATGCAACAAAAGTAACACATTATATGAAAGTTTTATTCAATATTTATCTAATACCACACCAGTGTGGTTGAGGAAAAGTCACCAGTGCTGTGTTCATCATTGTTTTGCTACGGGATATGAGAAGCGTAGCGCACTTAAAATGAGCTCGTGTGGAGGAAGTATGATGAGCAGTTCCAGCAGTGGCTCACGGAGAACCCAGGTACAAGGTGGGGCCAGAAAGACCTATCACTGTGCTTGAAGATGATGGTGGTGCAGAAGAAGCCACCCTTTCAGCAAGTGGCCGGCACAAGGGGGCAGTCCACCTCATCAGCCGCCTTCCAAAAGGGCTTAAGCTGGCTCTTTAATGGGGGTCAGTGAAAGTGTGCATCTGCGTGTCATTACAAGCATGAGTGCTCGGGTTGTGGGGGTGCCCACGGCCCTAACAGGTGTTTCAAGAGAGGGCAAAACCCAAGTGAAGTCATACGCGATGGTGCCATGGCTAAACCGCTACAGTAACAAGGCTGATGCTACAGTAACAAGGCTGAGCTGTTGCGGTTGGGTTTCGAGTCGGGTTTATTCATTCCCATCCGGGACAGGGGCGGTTCACATGGCCCGGTGTATTCTTCAGTCTGTCTTCACCTGTTGAGGACCATTAAATGGGTGGCAGGACAGCTTGGTGGGCCATTTAAGGCGGGTAAAACGGAAGGTCCGATGGAATGTTGCATTTTTCTGGTTTACTCTTTCGTTGTTGGCTAGGAACGTATCCGCGGCGGTGATGGATAGGCATATGGCGATGATTGCATTTTGGTTTAAGCTGCATGGGTAGGAGGATTTGACAAAGTATTTTGTGATAAGAAAGGCATTTAAGGGTTATCAGAAGGGTCCCAGTGTCCATGGGGGTGTTGGGGGCCTTGCTTCGAGTGTTGCCCGACATTTGTTTTGATGATTTCGAGGGGCTCCTGTTCCGCATGGCATTTCTCTTAGCCTTCTTTGCTGCGTTTCGGATTGGGAAGCTTGTTAGCGCTAACCGGGTTGGTTGAGGGGGTATTCAGGGGGGTGAAGTGCGCATTCAGGAAGGGCGGCTTGTTTGACCAAGTCCAGGACCGAAGTTTGGGGCATGGGCAAGGACGTTACCTTGTATGCCATTGTGCCTGGTTACCATGGTGTCACGATATCTGGCGCATAGGCCCATGGTCTGGCGCATAGGCCCATGGTCACCCAACATCCCAAGTTTTTTCTTGGTGCATGCAGAGCCGGAAAACAAAGGAGCTGATGGAGCTGCAGCTCCAGGCCCATGCCCATGGAATAGGCCCAATGATTAAAAAAAAACAAAAAGGGGCGTGGCTTGGTCACCGGAGTGAATGGCCGCATGAGAGCTGAGCTCCGTCCAGAACAGGCCTCATAAGCAGCATCCCCGGCAGATAAGACAACATGGCATCAAAAAAACCAAGATCACAGGCGAACACCACCCCAGCGGTACCACTTACCTCGTCCAAAACATCCCTCAGACGGTATTTTGGAGAAAAATTGAAGACGGAGATCAAATCCAAGATGGCGGCGACTGAGAAATCTCCCACGCACAGCGCACCACCTAGCCCTGCAACCTCAGAAAACTCCTTAGAGGGCAGCGACCTAAAAACCCTACTCTCACAATTACCATCTAAACTAGACTTGGAACTGATGTTCTCTAAGATGGAGAGGAGCTTTGGGGACAAACTACAATCGCTCCACGAGGAGGTAAGCCAAATAGGCCACAGGGTACAAACATTAGAAGAAGAAGGGGAAGCAAGTGCCCTGCATCTCACAAATATACAATCCCTCCAGCAAACCCACAATGAAGCCATCCTATTCTTACAAAGGAAATTAGAGGATTTGAACAATAGAGGCAGGAGAAACAACCTCAGGATAAGGGGTCTCCCTGAAACACATGAGGGAGAGACAGAAGATATTATACTCCTACTCACTGGCCTCTTTAACACGATACTGGGCAGGCCTCTTGACACTGTCATCAAATTTGACCGCGCGCATAGAGCGTTTAGACCACGGGCACTGCCCCAGGACAAACCGAGGGATATTATATGTAAAATCCACCATTTCCCACTCAAAGAAGCAATCCTGCAAAAAGCCAGGCGCCTCAGAGAAATCAAACATGATGACCATAAAGTGTTGATCTTTCAAGACTTGGCACAATCGACTCTACTAGCGAGGAGAGCACTCCGACCCATAACAGCAGCCCTTTCGGACATGAACATTAGATACAGATGGGCATATCCCTTCGCTCTTGTGGTCACTCAGCAAGGGACAACGTACTCTATCACGACACCTGCAGAGGTCCAGGCCTTCCAGCAAGCTCTAAAACTTCCAAAGGACACAGTGGAGGACTGGACTGGGCTAACATTGGGACAGACATCACACACCTTTCAGAGAAATAAATGGCAAAGAACCCCGAAAAAGCATAGAAGGCGTATCCCATCGGGCAATGAACAGACCGCATCTCCCAGAAGCGCTACAAGCAGACCCGCCTGAGGGACCCAATATATCCTTTATTATGTTAAACAGACTTTTGAAGCACCTAGATGCTCTTTCTTCTATAACTGAAAGTTTTATGCCGTTTGTCTCGACTTGCATATTGTTTACCGTATTGTATATTTAAACTGCCTTCCGCGCAGCCACCGCCTACACCTTCCTTGAGGTCCGGGCCCTAGCTGCACGAAATTAGGGGATAGAAACCCACATTTCAAACCTTATTACGAGTTAACATAAGAAAACACAGGCCGTACAATAAGAAACGCTTTTACAAACCAGATTACAGGCCACACGTTCTGGACACCCAAGACCCCGTAACCCCCTAGAGGTGTCGCAGAGAGCACGTAGGACTCACACAGAGCCTAGCGCGCTAGACACCATCTGGTAGATGCATGTTACCCACATGCTAATTGTACATAACATCCCAAGTTTAAAACCCCCCATACATCCCCTTGACCCCCAAAGGTACAAGTGTAAGCACCACCACCCAGAGCAGACACGCCATCACTACCACCCAACCTCCAATGGCTGATCTCAAAATAATGTCCCTAAATGTTAGGGGACTTAATACTCCAGAGAAACGTACAGTACTAACCCAAGAAATAGACAGGCAACGGGCTGATGTCGTTTTCTTACAGGAAACACATTTAAAAGTGGATCAAACCCCTAAACTGAGGGCAAAAACAATAGGACAAGCATTCTTTAGCAACTATCATGGGGGCAAAGCAAGAGGAGTAGCCATCCTAATATCACCACGCATAGTCTTCACCCCGAGTGAAATCGAAACAGACCACTTGGGAAGATACCTATTCATCAAAGGCACACTGAATAACACATTGGTGACACTAGCAACTATATATGCCCCGAATACCAAACAAGTATCGTTTGTCAACTCATGTCAACACTGCACAAATTTGCAAACGGGATAATAGTTTTAGGGGGAGACTGGAACATGGTTCTGGACCACTCTACAGACAGCTCCACAACCAGTAAAGACACACAGATACACCAAAGGGCTTTGTTTCAGAGATCCCTCCATGCCCACCAGCTGGTGGACTGCTGGAGAATATCCCACCCACAGGAGAGGGACTATAGCTACTATTCACAGGTGGCTCATAGTTACTCCAGATTGGACATGTTCTTCCTAGAACATAGGCACTTACACCTGTTGAAGGAAGCATCAATTGGCCACATCACGTGGTCCGACCATGCCCCAGTGTTCCTCACACTTTCCATTACAGGAACATGCACACCCGCCAACAAGTGGCGGTTAAATGAATCGCTACTGGATGACCCTAGCGTGACTGATGACCTAAATAATTCCCTCCCTAGATACTTTCTAGAAAACAAAAACAAAGACACCGCAGACACCTGGGTATGGGAGGCACACAAAGGTATCACCCGAGGTATATTGATTAAGTGGGGTGCACGTATAAAAAAAGAACGCCAAGCAAAGATCAAATCACTCACAGAAGCAATATCTAGAGCAGAAATGAAACATAAAACCGACCCCTCAGTGGAGGCGTATAACACGATAACGGCATTGAGAATGGATCTGCGCAATATCCTTACGTTGCAGGCACACAAAGTAGTACTTCTAACCAGGGGAACATATTACGCACATGGTAATAGGAGTGGGAAGTATCTGCCCAGAGCCCTAAAAGAAAAACACCAAAAAACATACATATCCCACATAAAGGCGCAAGACGGTACACGCAAAGATAAAACCAAGGACATAGCCAAAATCTTCCGGGAATACTATAGTAACCTATATAACCTAGAACACCAGAGAGGCCCATTCCACGACATTAAAACATACATCTCCTCTCATACCCAAAAAACCATAGACGCTCACCAGTCAACCATATTGGACTCCCACATCCAGCTAGAAGAATTGCAGCGAGCAATTAAAACACTTCCTAAGGGTAAAAGCCCGGGACCAGATGGCCTAACGGCCAGATACTACAAATCTTTCCAACACATCCTATCTCCCCACTATCTAGAAGTACTTAACAATCTGCTAACCACTACGGAATTACCACCCCCGATGCTGAAAGCATCGATAACAATCCTGCCAAAACCCGGCAAGGACCAGAGCCTGTGTGGTAGTTATAGACCCATCTCCCTGATTAATCTTGATGTTAAACTGCTTGCAAAAATCCTCGCCAACCGACTCAAGACACTACTACCTGACCTGGTCCATACGGACCAAGCGGGTTTCATCCCCGGCAGGGAGGCGAGAGACAATACCACAAGAATTCTTAACCTCAAACATGGTGCCTCTACCACCAGGGAATCAACAATACTCCTCTCGGTGGATGCCGAAAAGGCGTTCGACCGAGTAGACTGGACCTTCCTGTTCACCACCCTTGAAACCATAGGAATCGGCCCCAATTACATACGATGGGTGAGAACACTATATAAGGGACCATCAGCCACAATTGGAGTTAATGGGCAAAACTCTCCCCCCTTTGCCATAAGTAATGGCATAAGACAAGGGTGCCCTCTGTCCCCACTGCTATTCGTTCTGGTGATGGAACCATTTCTGAACGCCATCAGGGCAAATACCAACATTAAAGGCATCAGGGCAGGAGAACAGGAAGTAAAAGTATCTGCTTTTGCAGACGACGTGCTCCTAACACTCACCCACCCTGAGCGATCTCTCCCGCATCTCCAGAGCAAAATAGAACACTTCAGCACATACTCAAATTTCAAAATAAATGCTGATAAGTGCGAACTAATGGGAATAAACCTAAAACCGACCCAACACAAACACATAAGTCACAACTACCCTTATCGATGGGCAAACACAGGCCTCACATATTTATGCATCAAACTCGCACCCACAATGACAAGCCTCTATAGAATGAACTACATTCCCCTATTGGCTAACATTAAATCACAACTCAAACACTGGGACAAACCTCACTTCTCCCTTTTTGGAAGAGTCAACATTATTAAGATGATGATACTACCAAAAATTCTATATACATTCCAAACGCTCCCTATCGAGCTCGGACGCTTGTTCTTCCACACACTGAAAAAAATCTTCCTTACGTTTGTTTGGGGAAACAAAAAATCCCGACTGGCATATGAAATACTCACACGGGATAAAAAGAAAGGAGGTATGGGACTACCCCATATGTACAACTACTACATAGCAGTCCTTTTCACTAGAATAAGGGAATGGATAGATACAAAGCACAAAAAAGCGTGGTACGACATAGTATGCACAGGCTCCTCTATCATCCCTCCCAAACATGCCAACTTCAGCAGCTGACCACCATGACACACCCCCTTATCCCCCACATCCTAAAGAAGTGGAGATCACACAAAAATGCATGGAAACTGTCACCAGGCATCTCTCCATTATATCCATTAAACCATAACCCGGATATATTAGGAGGTAGAGGGGCAGATACTATAATAAAACTATTGGGAATACAAAACCCACAAATAGGAGACCTACTGACAGGAGATACACCCCCTAAACTCAAGCAGTTCCAAATTACGAGAGGCCACCGTTCACTAATGGAAGCAATGAAATGCGCACAACTGAGACACTCTATCACTCAAACAGTACTACCAAATTGGACCCCAAGAGGTTTAACCCCCTTTGAGCAATTATGCACGACCGCAAAGCCGATAAAACGCACCCTATCACAAATTTATAAACTCATCCAAACTAACGACAATGCTCAGGAGACCCTAGCATACCAACGTAAATGGATGAAGGAACTTCACATACACATGACACACCAGGACTGGGCATATATCTTCACAAAACCCTTGCACACTTCCAGTAGCCTATCAAGAGTCTTTCTATAAGCGCATTACTAGGTGGTATAGAACTCCAGATGTACTCCATTTATATTGGCAAACAATTAGTGACCAATGCTGGAGATGCGGGGGAGAAGTGGGCAGTATGGGACATCTGTGGTGGTTTTGCCCACTTATAAGAACATACTGGGAAGAAGTAATATCCAAGATCGATGAGATCTTAAAGATACCACACTCTCTAACCCCCTTCCAAGTTCTGCTAGGATGGCCACACTCCTTTCAATGCATGAGGAGTAAGCGCCTACTATGGCTCCTTCTGGGAGAAGCAAACAACCTTATACCAGTCCACTGGAAGCAAAATGTACCACCCACAGCTAAACAATGGATAGAAAGGGTAGAGCACATGAGAGAAATGGAAATGCTACATTGGTCCACAATAGGCAAATACAATACCTACTTAACCACATGGGAACCCTGGCTGAAACACTGGGCACTAGTACGGAATCAACCACAATAGACTGAAAAGTAATAATAATAAAAGACACCTTGTACCTTTCCCCCCACCCACCCCCCATGTATATAGTACTTACCCGCTCTCCCCACCATTCCCTACTCCCAGAATCTCTGGTTTCACAAAATACAGAACGATAAGACAATAATAGCGGTACTAGTACGTAAAGGACAATGGGAATTGATGTCTATTTGTCTATTTCAACACTGCTGTATAAAATGTATGTACCACAACCATCATACCTTTCCCCCCCTTCTTTGCCTTCTGTACCCCCGTTACTCGTTGTGAAATAACAATAAAACTCAAATTAAAAATAAATAAATATATATATATATATATATATATATATATATTTATTTTTTACACATCTTAGGGTTGCCACCTGGCAGGTATTTATTTGAGGCTGCCTGGCCGGTGCTGATATTGCAGTAATACCGGCAATACAAATGCCGGTATTTTTCTCAGTATAAACAGAATTACTCTGCAATACCAGCACTGGCCAGTAGGGGTTGCTGTGTGTGTGTGTGTGTGTGTGTGTGTGTGGAGAGAGGCAGGGATAGGAAGTTACAGCATATATCTGCATCTCTCTACTCACTGCTGTGCGGGGGAGCAGCTACACAGCACAGAGTCCAGACAGCAGCTCCCAGCCTGCAGAGACAGCCTACAGCTCAGGGAAGTGAGGGATGGGGTGAAAGCTGCAGGGAGACATGGGGACACTGAGACATTAGGGGACACTGTGAAGCATGGGGAAACAGACACATGAGGACACTGAGACATGGGGACACTGATACACTTGGGAATACTGGGAGACATGGGGACACTGAGACACTTGGGACACAATGTCCCCAAGTGTCTCAGTGTCCTTATGTTTTCCAGCCAGTGTCCCTGGTGTCTCAGTGTCCCCATGTCTACCAGTGTCTCAGTGTCCCTAGTGTCTCAGTGTTCCCATGTCTCCCAGTGTTCCCATATCTCTGTGTCCCCTACTGATATGGGGATACTGTGAGACCTGGAGACACAGACCCATATCTCTGTGTCCCCCACTGACATGGGGATATTGGGAGACTTGGAGACACAGACCCTAGGGGACTCTGGGCAACATGAAGACTATGGGCAATGTGGGAACACAGAGACATGGGGACATTGGGAGACATGGAGCACTGAGACGCTGTGATACATAGTGACACTGTGATACATAGTCTCAGTGTCCCCCGGTGTCCCCAAGTCTCCCAGTGTCCCCATGTCTCACAGTGTTCCCTAGTGACATGGAGACATGGGGACACATACACTGGGCGACATGGTGATACTGGGAGGCCTAGGAGACAGCAGTCTATACAGCAGTATCAAACTGTAAGTAGTGTTTTGGGTGATTTTACAGAATTGTCTCTTATGTAGTGATGTACCGAACTGTTCGCTGGCGAATAGTTCCTGGCGACCATAGCGTGTTCGCGTTCACCGCCGCGGGCGAACACATGCGCAGTTTGATCCGCCCCCTATTCGTCATCATTGAGCAAACTTTGACACTGTGCCTCACGGTCAGCAGACACATTCCAGCAAATTAGCAGCAGACCCTCCCTTCCAGACCCTCCCACCTCCCTCCCAGCATCCATTTTAGATTCATTCTGAAGCTGCATGCTTAGTGAAAGGAGGGAAAGTGTAGCTGCTGCTCATTAGATAGGGAAATTGATAGTTAGGCTAGGGTATTCAGTGTCCACTACAGTCCTGAAGGACTCATCTGATCTCTGCTATAAGGACAGCACCCCAAAAAGCCCTTTTTAGGGCTTAAACATCAGTCTGCTTTTTTTTTTTTTTTTCTGTGTAATGTAATTGCAGTTGCCTGCCTGCCAGCTTATGTGTCAGGCTCACAGTGGATACTGTGCCCATTTGCCCAGTCAGTGCCACCACTCATATCTGGTGTCACAATAGCTTGCATTTAAAAACAAAAAACTTTTTTTCACTGTTATAGATTGAATAGCAGTTACTTATCATAATCTTCAGTGGCAGGTGCACAGATCGCGGTTACCTCTTCCGTGCGCTCGTGGTATGGCTTGAGCATGTTCACATGGAGCATGCGCTTGCCTCCCGTGCCTGTGACCGCACCGATCACAAAGGTGGTATCACAAACCTGCTCTACCACCTTGTATGGGCCCTGCCCGGAAGCCTGCAGCTTGTCCTTGTGGAGAGTGTCAATCCATATCTGCCAAGTGACCCTATGTAGGGGGAACAGTCTCTATTCTGCTCTGTGTCAGTGTGTATCATGGTCTCTGAGGACAGGTGCCAAACCATATCTGCCAAGTGACCCTATGTAGGGGGAACAGTCCCTATTCTGCTCTGTGTCATTGTTTATCAGGGATCCTTAGGATAGGTGTCAATCCATATCTGCCAAGTGACCCTATGTAGGGGGAACAGTCTCTATTCTGCTCTGTGTCAGTGTGTATCATCGTCTCTGAGGACAGGTGTCAATCCATATCTGCCAAGTAACTCTATGTAGGAGGAACAGTCTCTATTCTGCTCTGTGTCAGTGTGCATCAGGGGCTTTGAGGACAGGTGTCAATCCATATCTGCAAAGTGACCCTATGTAGGGGGAACAGTCTCTATTCTGCTCTGTGTCAGTGTGTATCATGGTCTCTGAGGACAGGTGTCAATCCATATCTGCCAAGTGACCCTATGTAGGGAACAGTCTCTATTCTGCTCTGTGTCAGTGTGTATCATGGTCTCTGAGGACAGGTGTCAATCCATATCTGCCAAGTGACCCTATGTAGGGGGACCAGTCTCTATTCTGCTCTGTGTCCGTGTACATCAGGGGCTCTGAGGACAGGTGTCAATCCATATGTCAAGGTGTCAATATGTCATATGTCAGGTGTCAATCCATATTCATTGTGATTTAGGAATGTTAGGTGATTTCTGCCCTTTATGGATTAAAACCAGACTCTGCATCAACTGTGTAATTTTCCATGGGAGTTTTGCCATGGATTGCCCTCCGGCATGCCACAGTCCAGGTGTTAGTCCCCTTGAAACAACTTTTCCATCACTATGGTGGCCAGAAAGAGTCCCTGTGTGTTTTAAAATTCACCTGCCCATTGAAGTCTATGGCGGTTCGCCAGGTTCGCCGGTTCCCGAACATTTGCGGAGGTTCGGAACATTTGCGGAGGTTCGCATTCGCCGTTCGCGAACCGAAAATTTCAGGTTCGCGACATCACTACTCTTATGTCACTCCTTGTGATTTACATCATGTGATGTCATCTATTTTTTTCCAAGAAAGGTGACAACCCTAACTACTCTTCACGTAATCTTACTTAAGTATGGAAACTTAAGAGGTATATATGGAAACAAAACTTGTGTGGACTAGCTGAAATGAAATTAGCTAAGGTAATGCTGACTTTGGTCTCTCTAACACTGTAGCATGTTCCCTTTCTTCTGCGCACACTACTTCCACCTTTTCTCTGTCAGTAGGCAGAAGCTCAGACTGTATACCAGGAGCTTCTGCCTACTAGTACGAAGGTAAGGAGACAAGGAGACAAGTGGACATTAGGGGTGAGTGTTAGGGGACAGTCCTTAGGAAGCATGGAGTGAGCGCATCATTAGACGCATTTATGCCAAGCTCAGGATGCTGTTGGCCAGCATGCATGATTAGCAGGCAGCCTGACATGCATTCATGCCAGGATAGCCTTCCAATTCTTTGGGCAGACACGCCTGCTTTTTGGGCATGTTCATCCCTTTCGGGAGTACTGGTTACATGATCTTCGTAGAATGCAATTAGGTTAGTTTGACATGACCTATGTTTCATAAAACTATGCTGATTATTGCTAATAACAAAGTTCTTCCCAATGAATTCCTGAATATTATCCCTTAATAGCCCTTCAAATATTTTCCCAGTTAAAGAAGTTAAGCTCACAGGTCTATAATTTCCAGGCAAGGATTTTGAACCTTTTTTAAATATAGGAACAACATCTGCCTTCCTCCAATCCTCCAGTACAATACCTGAAACAAAAGAATCTTGAATCAGAGGTTAACTTATTTCCCCTTATTTTGAGTTTGGAGAAGTTGGGGTTGCGTGCAGGTCAGTTTGGGACTCACTTCTTCTGCGTCAAACGGCTGTGGAAGTGACGCGGTTGGGGATCAGGGAGGCCCCGGTCAAGAGGATTGGACGGTGGGAGTCGGTAAGGTTCCATTTTTATGTGCTCTTGGGGCTGCTGGCTTAGGGTTGTTGGGACTGTGGGAGTTGGGGTTGGGGTCAGTGTTGACGTTGTTCGTTTGTCTCCCTAGGTAAAGTCACCTGCATCGTGGATCATTCTTTTGTTTTCTGGGCATAGAGGAGGGCTGCAGATCTTTTTTAGGGTCAGCAGCTGGTCTTTCCTGGGGACCAGATTTTGATACGTTGGTTCGTTTACAGGGGCTTTTGTTGTTGAGACATGTATAGTGGAGTGTTTGGATGGTGTCAGATGGGGGTCTGCCTGATATTATTGTTTTACATCCGGGAGCTAATAGAAACATAGAAACAGAATGTGATGGCAGATAAGAACCATTCGGTCCATCTACACTGCCCAATTTTCTAAATACTTTCATTAGTCCCTGGCCTTATCTTATAGTTAGGATAGCCTTATGTGTATCTCACGTATTCTTAAACTAGTTTACTGTGTTAACCTCTACCACTTCAGCTAGAAGGCTATTCCATGCATCCACTACTCTCTCAGTAAAGTAATACTTCCTGGTATTATTTTTAAACATTTAAATCTAATTTAAGACTATGTCCTCTTGTTGTGGTAGCTTTTCTTCTTTTAAATATAGTCTCCTCCTTTACTGTGTTGATTCCCTTTATGTATTTAAATGTTTCTATCATATCCCCCCTGTCTCGTCTTTCCTCCAAGGTATACATGTTAAGTTACCTTAACCATTCCTTCTGTGTGTGATTTGGAAGCTCTTATACTCTAATCGTATGATCTAATCTTATAGATCATTCTGTCTTCCTCACTTTGGGTTTTTTATAATTACTAAATGCTAACTTTTAGTTTTTTACTATTTTCACCACATCTGTGGGGTAAAACAGTGGTTTCTTTTTTGCTTTTACTGACAAGCCTAATGCAATTTTCTGTTGTCTTCAGCAGTGCAACTTTAAAAAAATCCTATTTCTCTTGGACTCCACTTAAATTGCTCCAGTCTGATAATGACTCCTTTACACACATTCTAATTTTAGAAAAGTGTGTTTTTCTAAAGTCAAAAACTTTTGTTTTTGTGTGGTGTGACTCAGTCACTGTTCTTATATTAAACCAAACTGACTGATGGATCCTAAACACTGGATCCTAAACTTTCACCTACCGTGATATCTGATCCCAAATCTCCATTTGTTAACACTTTATGAGTTGGCTCCTCAACAACTTGTTTTAGAGACAATACCAGTAGGGAGTTTAGAATATGTGTGCTCCTGGCACAAGCAGCTATTTTGGTTTTCCAATTCACATCAGGAAGATTAAAGTCACCCATGATGATAACTTCCCCCTTCATGGTCATTTTAGCTATTTCCTCAACTAGTAGATTATCTAACTCTTCTATTTGTCCTGGGGGCCTATAAATCCCACCTACACGAGTTACTGTGTGATTACCAAATTTAGTATAACCCAAACGGACCGTATCTTTGCCTCATTAATTTTTTATTAAGCTATATTTTATGCTATCCTTCACGTACAGGGCCACCCTCCCCCTTTCTTGCCTTCCCTGTCTTTTCTATATAAAGAGTACCCTGGTATTGCTATGTCCCAGTCATTTTTCTCATTATACCATGTCTCAGTAACAGCGACTAAATTTACATTATCAGTTGCGATTATTGCCACAAGTTCATGGATCTTATTCCCTAAACTGCGAGAATTTGTAGACATGACTCTAAGCTTATCATTTTTTAACACACTTGCTACATGCACCTTCTGTACTTCTTTTGGGGGGCAATTAGATTGATGTTTTATCAGCCTTTTGCCCCCTCCTAGTTTAAATACATCCTAGCAAAACCTCTGAAATGCTCACTGAGAACATTTGTTCCCTTTTGAGAAAGATGCAAACCATCTTTTTTGTACAGTTTATTTCTATTCCAAACAGAGCTACCATGAGAAATTAAGCCAAATCCTTGTTCCCAACACCATTCACCAAGCCACAAGTTAAAGTCCGTAATACGCATCCGTCTGTTGTTCTGAGTGTTATACACAGGCAGAACTTCAAAGAATGACAGTGTGGAAGCAACTTGCTGTATATCATTGGCAAAAACACTAAAAACTTCCTTTACCTCTGAAACCTCGTTGCAAGCCAAGTCATTTGTCCCTAGATGGACAAGTACATCCAATTCCCCTTCCTGCTTTGTTCGCTTAACAATATTACAAATACGGCTCCTGTCTCTGTGAGCAGTAGCTCCGGAAGGACATCTCACAAGACCACTATTGTCCAGCTCCACACCTCTTATGAGAGAAAACAACTGCTTTCTATTAAGCCTCACCATAGTCTCCAAGCCTGTCTCCATAATACCACTACATTTGGTGCCTGAGAATGTCTCCACAACACCACTACACTCTGTGCTGTAATGACTTGGGCCTTGTCCCGCAATGGCAGCTTGTGAAGTGATTGAAGCAGGATATTAATAGGTTGCAGTACCTGCTTCCCAAGGTGATGATAGTATGATTGGAAATTGTGTCCCAGCTGCAGTGGCGACATGCACAATCCTTCAGGTAATAGCTTAATGGCTAGTTTTGTAAGGAAGTTGGGGGAGTCACAGTGAGGTATAAGGAATTGGAGGCTGGGTTACCCAGTTACTATCACTTGGATGGAGTTCACCCCATCCAGGTAGGGTGGGACCTACTGAACCTAGAGTTGCAGCAAGGGCTGTTTAGATCACTGTTTCTTAGGGGTGACAGAGCTCAGATGGCTTAAAGGATCAAAGTCTGAGCTTGCGGAGGGATAGTGAGCTGAAGGATAGGAAAATAGGCTCTTCGTTATGCTGGTTTAGTAATGGTTAATATGATTCTTGGTAAGTGTAACGGCTACCCTGTGTATCAGAGGGGTGTATGCCGTTGGAGATGTTCTTTTTCCTTAAGAGAGGCTGTGCTGCAGTGTTCTCCAGATGTCCCATCAGCCGAACCAGTAGCGAAAGAATAGCAGAGCTCTTTCAAGAGCTAGTGGTTAGCTGGAAGCAGGTTCCCTACAAACACAAGACGAGGCTACTTATTGAAGCAGTGATTGAAGCAGGATATTAATAGGTTGCAGTACCTGCTTCCCAAGGTGATGATAGTATGATTGGAAATTGTGTCCCAGCTGCAGTGGCGACATGCACAATCCTTCAGGTAATAGCTTAATGGCTAGTTTTGTAAGGAAGTTGGGGGAGTCACAGTGAGGTATAAGGAATTGGAGGCTGGGTTACCCAGTTACTATCACTTGGATGGAGTTCACCCCATCCAGGTAGGGTGGGACCTACTGAACCTAGAGTTGCAGCAAGGGCTGTTTAGATCACTGTTTCTTAGGGGTGACAGAGCTCAGATGGCTTAAAGGATCAAAGTCTGAGCTTGCGGAGGGATAGTGAGCTGAAGGATAGGAAAATAGGCTCTTCGTTATGCTGGTTTAGTAATGGTTAATATGATTCTTGGTAAGTGTAACGGCTACCCTGTGTATCAGAGGGGTGTATGCCGTTGGAGATGTTCTTTTTCCTTAAGAGAAGCTGTGCTGCAGTGTTCTCCAGATGTCCCATCAGCCGAACCAGTAGCGAAAGAATAGCAGAGCTCTTTCAAGAGCTAGTGGTTAGCTGGAAGCAGGTTCCCTACAAACACAAGACGAGGCTACTTATTGAGGGTTAAGCAGATCTGAGAGTTTAATGTGCCAGGCTGGCCTTTTATGCAACTTTTATCACCCAGGTGCAAGGCCAGATTAACATAGGGGCTGATGGAGATGCAGATCCAGGCCCAGGCCCATGGAATAGGCCCATTGATTTAAAAAAAAAAACAACAAAAAAAACCTACTCTTAGGGTTGCCAGGTATTTCTCATGTATTTCTTATGGTTGCCAGGTATTTTTCAGAAGTATTTCTCAGGTATTTGAGGCTGCCAGCCGATGCCGGTATTGCAGTAATACCGGCAATACAAATGTCTGTCTCAGTATAAAACGAGATTATTCTGCAATACCAGCGCTGGCCAGTAGGGGTCGCTGTTTGTGTGGAGAGAGGCAGGGATGAAAAGTTACAGCATCTCCCTCCCTGCCTCTCTCTACACACTGATCCACAGGGGAGCAGCTCTGCACAGACAGTCCAGACACCAGCTCCGAGCCTGCGAGACATGGGGACGGTGAGAGACTTGCGGACGTTGAGACATTGGGATACTGGGAAACATAGGGACACTGGGGAACATGGGGACCCTGAGAAACTGGCCCTGCCCATGTCTCCCAGTGGCCCTGGTCTCCCAGTGGCTCCATATCCCCCAGTGTCCCCATATCTCCCAGTGTCCCTGGTGTCTCCCAGTGTCCCCATGTCTCTCAGTGTCCCTGGTGTCTCTCAGTGTCCCCATGTCTACCAGTGTCACTGTTGTCTCTCAGTGTCCCTAGTATCTGTGTTCCTAGTCTCCCAGTGTCCCCATGTCCCAGATCCACGTGTATCTCAGTGTCCCCATGCCTCTCCCACTGGGAGACATGGGCAGGGCCAGTTTCTCAGTGTCCCCATGTTTCACAGTGTCCCAATGTCTCTAAGTGTCCCCTAGTGTCCTAGTGACATCGGAACACTGGGAGACATGGGGATACAAACACTAGGGGACACTGGGCAACATGGGGACACTGGGACACTAGGGGACACTGAGAGCCATGGGGACACTAGTGGACACAGGGAGACATGGGGACACTGGGCGACTTTGAGACCTGGGAGACATGGGGCACTCCCAGTGTCCCCATGTCTCCCAGCCAGTGTCCCTAGTATCTCAGTATCATCATGTCTCCCAGGTCCCTGGTGTCTCTCAATGTCCGTGGACACTAGGAACTAATCTAAGCGTGGGATTAGTCCCTAGTGTCTCAGTGTTGCCTAGTCTCCCAAAGCCTCCTAGTCTCCCAAAGCCCCCTAGTCTCCCAAAGCCCCCTAGTCTCCCAGTGTCTCAGTGTCCCAATGTCTTCAGGGTCCCCATGTCTCCTAGTGTCTCAGTGTCCCCTAGTATAAAAGAAAAAATCTCAGGCACTCACTGTGATAGATTAAGCAGGTTTATTGGACACCACAACGTTTCAACCTGTACCCAGGTCTTTATCAAGTCTCCAGTGTCCCCTATGTATCGAAATGTCCCATATGTATCAGAGTGTCTCAGTGCCCCATGTCTCCCAGTGTCCCCGGTGTCTCTCAGTGTCCTTAGTGTCTCAGTGTCCCTGGTCTCTCAGAATCCCCTAGTCTCCCAGTGTCCCCATGTCTAACAGTGCCTCCAGGTGTCTCAGTGTCCCATAGTATAAAAGAAAAAAAATCTGTCTACAGGGTCCCCATGTCTCCTAGTGTCTCAGTGTCCCCTAGTATAAAAGAAAAAATCTCAGGCACTCACTGGGATAGATCCAAAAGAATCGCACCTAGGTACAGTTCAAAAGTCCAGGAGCTATTAAACCCAATAATGGCTTCTATATTGTATATAGAAAGACTTGCGACAGTTTGTTCAAATATGGCAACAATATGTATGGTGTGTATAGCTTTAAATCTGCTACAGGCAGATCCAATATAGTATACACCAAATAATCTACTTAGCTTAGATAGTTGAATAATAAAGAATAACAGCATAAACCGCTGTCTTCTCTTAAGTATTGAGATACAGTGGTATTATTAATCCAAAACACTGTCTCTTTAAATGGATAGATTAACTAAATAGTGTGCTAAGAATATTAATTATAGACCTAATAGGAGTACTGCAAAAAAATGTAATATGAATTACAAGAAAACTTGTAAAAGATTAGAGAAACCACTAAATTCTAATACTTAGTGATAAAACTTGGAAAACTTCTAGTAATCAAACATTTTTTATTGTGATCCAAAGACATATCAAAGAATAAAAATGTATATATAAAAAAATATGAAATATATTAAAATATATTAAAATATGGGTCAGGAACGGTTAGCAAAAGAGTTACCAGCAGAAGGATGATATTGTTCTCTACACAGTCACAGGGTCCGGCTAGGATGGATATAGATTTAATGTAACAGAAATGTGTCTCTGTACTTGCCGGCTGCCGAACAAATTGGGCGTGCGTCCCAGACCTCACTCTGGGGTTGGAAGGTCGGTCCCCTGATTGACGGTGTTCTCTAGTTCAGGGAGAGAGATTACTTCTGCCGGTTTAGCTTTGCTCCGTATCCTGCTTACTGGTATCAGTCTGTCTAACGCGTTTCGTGGGTGTCAGCCCCACTTCATCAGCCCCACTATGGACCTTGTGGGGCACCGAAAAATACATTTAACAGCCAATAGTGTACAATCACAAAGTTAAACACTCCCATTCATTACAGTAAATTCCTCCCCTCTGCTTGGGAGATAATTTAGTTAATTACTGTATGAACTCAATTATGAAAAAAATGAAGCTTTTTACACATTTTCAAAAATATCATAAACACACATCCAATTCCCATGAAACTTATATATTCTGATAGGGCATAATTAGGGGACCAACATATTAAAAAAATTATGCAAATCGGTTCAGGGGTTTCGGGAAATAGGTGGAAGTCCCATTTCTGCCCGGCCGCACATGAGGCTCCTGCCCAAAATAGTTCCATGCATTCAGCTGGTGCGGCTGGTCCCTTTTCGTATGTTTAAAAATACCGAATAACCATTCACATAAGTGTTCGTGAGTTTGATGGTTATGTGCAGCCTCGTTCGTATAGCGTCTTTACCGAACGCCGCCTCCTTCGGATGAATTAGCACGAATCTAAGTGGTCCTGGAAGTCTAAGGGGTGTTCGAGAGTTCGAGTGCATGAAAAGAGTTCCAGACACTCGATGACCAAATACCGCTGGACGCGTTCAACAAAACAAGATGGCCGCCACGACGTGTTCGTTCATACGAATCGACGGCCACCCAGTGATCCACTTAGAATGTTGAAGTTGCGGTTTGGCACAGAGTCAATGAGTCAATTGGCGGCACACGACTGGTCTGGGTGGTCTCTCGATTGACAGTTTGTTTGGTTGTTTGTTCGGTTATACAAACACATTAACCTAGCTGTTCGTTTCCAAATTCGTATGTTTGGGATATAGTACTGTGAGTTCAACTGTAACAATGTTATAAATCCAATGACCAGGCAAGTTAACAGGGTATCTGTTACAGTAAGTTTGGCAGGTTTCGAGCTTGTTGGTGGCTCAGAACCAGGTGGGTGTAGGGGTATCTGGGTATACCCCTACCATAGTTTTTTAAAACATTGGCATTTTAACACCTTAGCGACCAGACCATTTTTCAATTTTCTTACCATTTAGGACCAGGGCTGTTTTCACATTTCTGCGGTGTTTGAGTTTAGCTGTAATTTTAATTTTACTTGTTTACTGTACCCACACGTATTATATCTAGTTTTTCTTGCAATTAAATGGTCTTTCTAAAGATACTACTATTTTCATCATATCATATAAATTACTACAAAAAATTATAAAATATGATGAAAACATGTAAAAAAAAACACTTTCTCTAACTTTATCCCCCAAAATCTACGCATCTAAAACCGCCAAAAAACACCCATGTTAAATAGTTTCTAAATTTTGTCCTCACTTTAGAAATACCCAATGTTAACATGTTCTTAGCTTTTTTTTGCAAGTTATAGGGCTATAAGTACAAGTAGGACATTGCTGTTTCAAAATATATTGTTTTAAAATGTATCAATAGTGACATTGTAACACTGTTATCTTTCATAAATCTCTGAATAACACCTCACATGTACATATTTTTTTTCTAAAGTAGACAACCCAGGGTATTCAATATGGGGTATATCCAGTCGTTTTAGTAACCATTTAGTCACAAACACTGGCCACAATCAGCATTTATTTGTGTGTGTTAAAAATGCAAAAAAGTATTATGCATGGTAACTTTGGCCAGTGTTTGTGACTAAGTGGCTACTAAAAAAGACTGAACATACCCTATTTGCAATACCTTGGGTTGTCTTCTTTAGCAAATGGTATGCCATCATGGGGGTAATTCTCATTCCTGGGCTACCATACGCTCTCAAAGTCAACATAACCAATATGGCAAATTTCAATGTGAATTTTTTTTTAAATGAAGCCTTATATTTGACCCTGTAACTTTCAAAAACACTATAAAAAAGTTACTCGGCTATTGGTGTGTGGAATTATTATACACCGTTTGTGTGTGAAAAATGCCAAAAACGTCACTTTCACTGACAATATCATCGCTGTGATATTCTTTACTGTTTTGAACACTAATGTATTCTCCAAGAGCTAATTGGAGTGAGATGTCAGCCAACTGGAGTCCAATCAATGAGATGAGATTGGAGGTGTTGGTTACAGCTGCCCAACCCTATAAAAAACACACACCAGTTCTGGGTTTGCTTTTCACAAGAAGCATTGCTTGATGTGAATGATGCCTCGCACAAAAGAGCTCTCAGAAGACCTACGATTAAGAATTTTTGACTTGCATAAAGCTGGAAAGGGTTATAAAAGTATCTCGAAAAGCCTTGCTGTTCATCAGTCCATGGTAAGACAAATTGTCTATAAATGGAGAAAGTTCAGCACTGCTGCTACTCTCCCTAGGAGTGGCCGTCCTGTAAAGATGACAAGAGCACAGTGCAGACTGCTCAATGAGGTGAAGAAGAATCCTAGAGTGTCAGCTAAAGACTTACAAAAGTCACTGGCAAATGCTAACATCCCTGTTAGCGAATCTACAATACGTAAAACCCTAAACAAGAATGGATTTCATGGGAGCATACCACAGAGGAAGCCACTGCTGTCCAAACAAAACATTGCTGCACATTTACAGTTTGCACAAGAGCACCTGGATGTTCCACAGCAGTACTGGCAAAATATTCTGTGGACAGATGAAACCAAAGTTGAGTAGTTTGGAAGAAACACACAACGCTAGGTGTGGCGAAAAAAAGGCACAGCACACCAACATCAAAACCTCATCCCAACTGTGAAGTATGGTGGTGGGGGCATCATGGTTTGGGGCTGCTTTGCTGCGTCAGGGCCTGGACGGATTGCTATCATCGAAGGAAAAATGAATTCCCAAGTTTATCAAGACATTTTGCAGGAGAACTTAAGGCCATCTGTCTACCAGCTGAAGCTCAACAGAAGATGGGTGTTGCAACAGGACAATGACCCAAAGCATAGAAGTAAATAAACAACAGAATGGCTTAAACAGAAGAAAATACGCCTTCTGAAGTGGCCCAGTCAGAGTCCTGACCTCAACCCGATTGAGATGCTGTGGCATGACCTCAAGAAAGCGATTCACACCAGACATCCCAAGAATATTGCTGAACTGAAACAGTTCTGTAAAGAGGAATGGTCAAGAATTACTCCTGACCATTGTGCACGTCTGATCTGCAACTACAGGAAACATTTGGTTGAAGTTATTGCTGCCAAAGGAGGTTCAACCAGTTATTAAATCCAAGGGTTCACATACTTTTCCCACCTGCACTGTGAATGTTTACATGGTGTGTTCAATAAAAACATGGCAACATTTCATTCTTTGTGTGTTATTAGTTTAAGCAGACTGTGATTGTCTATTGTTGTGACTTAGATGATGATCAGATCACATTTTATGACCAATTTGTGCAGAAATCCATATCATTCCAAAGGGTTCACATACTTTTATATATATATAATTTTATTCAAAGTGTATTTTGATACAAATGTATATATATTAATGTAATGGAAGTTACCTTGACCCCAGGCTCAAGCTACTAAGATGACTGGATGTCCAGTCTGTTTTTACTTTTTAGTCTAGTTTCGAGTGTCTGACAACTAAGCATAAGTAAGCATAAAATCTTGACTTGTGATATTCTGTGGTTTCTCCAGCTTCACCCTCAGCCCCTTCTTATGTCCTAGTGTTTTGTTATATATAACCATTGAAATATGCTTAGTTTCGTGAATTCCTTTTTATGGTACAGTGTGACTTCAAGCTTCCTGTTTTTGTCGCACAAGTCACAAAGCTGTTTTTACAAAGTAGTATATAATCTGTAACCTTACACAATAAAAAAGGGAAGTAATCTTTGAATCAAAAACTGTCTGGTCTGATCTGATTACTTTGCTTCGAGCTGCTCGTGAAATAAAACCATAATTTATATCAGTATCAATTAATATAAAAAAACTGTTAAAATAAAATTACATATTTTAACAGATCGCCTGCCACCCCGACTGGGTACCTGCATTGACGGATGCTCCTAGTACTTTCCGAGGGCTGCAAGCACTCCACTAGATAGCATAACCACCGCAGACATCCAAATAGTCAAACACCGTCTTCCACCCACTCTGGACCCAAGACCAGGATCCAGCTTCCAGAAGGTAGACCTCTCTTAATCCAGAGAGCAGGAACAAGAACAAACTCTTACAAGAGCTTAGTGAATATACTCTGGGGAGTATAGTGATTATAGCAATCCCCAGAGTGTAGCCGAAACGTCATGAAGGGTAGAACAAGCCTCAAGCTTTATTGGTACAGATTGGCTTATTATTATTATTATTTTATTATTTATAAAGCGCCAACAAATTCCGTAGCGCTGTACAATGGGTGGACTAAGAGACACATAATTGAGAACAGACCACTGGACGTACAGGAACAGAAGGGGTTATATACAATTCCTCAGGCCAGAGGCACACGTCCTGGACCTGATGGAGCACTGCATTACAAACTGTACAGTCCAATAAGAACAGTATAACAATGTCCGACATTCCCACATACATTAAACAATCCCTCCTCTCTGCTTGTGATATAATTAAGGTAGTTAATGTATAAACCTAATTATCCACAGGCAGAAAAAACACACATTTAAACAGAGTCTAGAAAACACCCCAAAACATAACATATGCCCATAAATCTTACATCCCCTAGCTCTGATCTAGCTGAACAACATATCCCAAAATCACCCAGATCAGATCAGAGGTTCAGAAATTTTATGGAAGCCATATTTTTGCCCAGACAAACCTAGGATTTCATGCCCAAAACAGTTCCATAGATTCGCGGGTAAGTGCCGCTGGAGGACTGACCGGGAACCGCGAGGTTTTCATGCCGAAAATAGTTCCAGGGCATTCGCGGCTAAGTTCCCCTGAAGTCTATTCGAGGTTTTAGTCCATGCGAACAAGATGGCCACCCCCACTTGTTCGAATGTCGAAGGGCGGCCAGTTAGATTGTGCGGGAGTTCGAAGAAACAATGTTTAAAGTGCCAATAGGCAGAATTAGGGTCTCGCAGCCAAAAAAGAGACCGACTGTCTCTTCTCCCAATAACACCCTCTGCCGCTGGGGAGTCAGACCGACTGTCTCGACTCCTGGTAATGCTGCCTGGTGCTGAACTGCTTGCTGCTGCTGGGACGAGGAACTGACAATCTCCTCTCCCTGTAATACTGTCTGCTTCTCCCAATAATGCACTCTGCTGCTGGGGAGAGAGAGACCGGTTGTCTCCATTGGGGAGTAGGACCGACTGTCCCCACTACCTGTCCCCACTACCTGTAACTCACCCTGCTGCTGGGGAGGGAGACCGGTTGTCTCCTCTCCCCATAGGGTACACTGCCGCTGTGGAGTTGAGGGGGGACTGTCTTGGTTGTCAGGCAGTCCCCCCAGACCAGGAGCAACACCTATCACCGGTGGGGGAACGGCGGCGATCGGGTAAGTAATATATTTGCCGTGGACGTAACGTTTTTGTCGGACGTACCTAGTACGTCCACGGTCCTTAAGGAGTTAATGGTATGTTCATGTTGGTGAAATATTGTTATATGTTTATGTTTTTCAGATATGGGTCATTGCCTTTTTAGAACTGTGGGGGTATTGATGTGTTATGGCTGGGTTGGGGGACATTACTTTATTCAATGTTAGATTATTACTATTATAAATATATTAATAAAAGCTGTGGACAAATTTGACCCATAAACCTTAGTGTCCATCTCTTATTAGGTTAGGTTTTGTGGGGTTTTATTCCACCCACCCATATGGCGAAGATGCACCTGTCAGGGATGTTCTCTAGGTCACCTGCCTCTGCTCTGTCTACGGAATGATGGTCAAGATCATTACCGAGAAGTATTATTTTATCTGTGTGAAGATGCAGGGGTGAGCAAGAAGTGAGTCAGATCCCAAAAGGCCAGACTGACAAACAACTGATTTATCTGAAACTCTCAGAGAGACAAACTGTGGGATTTTGTGAGTTTGAGGAGGGCTGCTGAAGTAAATCTATAATTTAAGGTGTTGCGCTAACAACTGGCTGTTTATCTCTTTACATTTTTTGGGGTCATTAAGTATTAGGTATTTCGCAAATGTGTTGGCTTTCTAAAACTGTTATTTTGTGTGTGTGTGTGTGTGGGAGTGGGGGGCAGGAGCGAGAGGGGGGTTTACATTTTGGTCATTACAACTTAACCCCTTAAGGACAGAAGCAATTTTCCAAGTTCTGAACGAGAACGAAACCTAAAATTTGAGTATATGTCTGTTCAACCATTAATGACCTCTTTCATATTAAGGGCACCTACATTTATTATATATCATTTTGTTCAGGAGATATATGACTTTCAATCCACACCAACTATTTATATATGAACATAATTTATTATAAATGCAATCTAAAAAACAGTGAGAAATTAAGAATTTCTGAATGGTATTTTAACCATAATAGCAGTCATAATACTGTTTGCTTTAACTCCAAGAATGCACACATATTTGAATGATTTAATGCCCCATTAGTATTTTATGGTATTTTGGAAAGTTACAGGGTCAAATAAGGGCTTCCAAAAAGTACAGGGATCTGTACTTGGACCCATTCTCTTTAATATTTTTATTAGTGATATTGCAGAAGGTCTTGATGGAAAGGTATGTTTTTTTTGCTGATGACACTAAGATATGTAACAGCGTTGATGTTCCAGGAGGGATAAGCCAAATGGCAAATGATTTAGGTAAAGTAGAAAAATGGTCAGAATTGTGGCAACTGCCATTTAATGTGGATAAGTGCAAGATAATGCATCTTGGACGTAAAAACCCAAGGTCAGAGTACAGAATATTTGATAGAGTCCTAACCTCAACATCTGAGGAAAGGGATTTAGGGGTGAGTATTTCTGATGACGTAAAGGTGGGCAGACAATGTAATAGAGCAGCAGGAATTGCTAGCAGAATCCTTGGTTGTATAGGGAGAGGTATTAGCAGTAGAAAGAGGGAAGTGCTCATGCCATTGTACAGAACACTGGTGAGACCTCACTTGGAGTACTGTACACAGTACTGGAGACCGTATCTTCAGAAGGATATTGATCCCCTAGAGAACCAATTATTGATGTATTATTCCATGTTATCTCTGACAATGCATATGATGTCCTTTTGCTTTATAAGGGGCATGCCGTCCCCCCAGAATAAACATTCCTCAAGGTTTTCATTAACTCGAAACCTGTGTCTGGTGTGAATTACTTCAGGAGCGTGCACGCATCTTTTTAAATTTGGCCGGGGCAGATACGCAAGATAATCAATTGATTGATTGATTCCACATCATTTGACGCCCAATGTGGGGCACCGGTTTTGCCGGTTCGGATGGCCGGAAACTGGGACCGGAGCGGACTTCCGGAAAGTGGGACACCCGGAGCCTGATCTCCTAAATACAGTGGTTTGCCTGTATTCTCCTGTTTTGTGTCGGTCTGTCTCTGTGTCCACTTCCGGCTTCCAGAAGGCTACAAGACAGGTAATCTCTTATCCGGTGCCCTTTTAAAACGAACCTGTCAATTGTCTATCTGCCTCCTGAGTTTTGTGTGTGTGTGTGTGTGAGACAGCTGGTGTGTGGTTTTTGTTTTATTATTATAGCTTGACTGCCTAGCGGGCAGGGAACGCATCCGCCCGGTGAGGTACTGGGAATTTATTATAGCTTGACTGCCTAGCGGGCAGGGAACGCATCCACACAGTGAGGGGCTGGGAATTTATTATAGCGTGACTGCCTAGCGGCGAAGCCCGGTGAAGGGCTGGGAACCGCCTGGAGAAAGGCTGGGAATATTGTTGTACTGTTCAGAGCGGAACAGGGTTTTATTTACTCTTTAGTTGTTACTATTGTGAAGGATTTTTCATGTATTTGCCTGTGGGCCCTCAGTTAAACCTTCTCCCTGCTGTTTAAATGCCTGTATCCGTTCGGTTCAATATGTATGTACCACTTTAAGAACCAAGGGTATGTGTGTGTAATGCATTGCAGAACATTTTTAAAAAGTTGACAGTTGGCAGTTAATTCCTGGAGCCGAGAGTAAAGTTCAGTTGACTCCCTGAACAGTGTTTCGTCTGGTTATTGGGGGATTTGGGATATTACCTTCTATACCAGCGGAGATCTGGGGACTTAATATTGCAGTCCCGTTACAACTATGCTCGTTGTTATATTGTTCTTTATTATATTATGGTTTTTATTCAATTGTGGCCATAGTGTGGGTACCCTCGGTGTGTGTGTGTTGTGTGGCTCATCCTTGATTCCGGATTATGTGCACATCTCTACATCTGTGACTCTTGTAAATGTCTACTGATTAGTTCCTCCACGTTCACCTTTTCCTTCATTCTCTACCTCTTTTGTACTTTTTACCCAGAGCTGTGTTAGTCACCCACGTTCGCCTGCTCAGATCCGTGGCCACCATCTCGGGTGGGCGGATCCCATGACTAGTCTACGTTTAGGGAAGACGCACAACGATCAATTCCTCGTGGCAGTCGAGCACTGTAGACATTCCTTCTTTTTCCTTTCTCTCTCTCTGTCCCTCTTACATGGGAAGCCTTGTTTGGTAAAAATGGGACAAGAACACGCCAGACCTTCCAAAGGCTACTTAGCTTGTGACATTGTTAAGGAGAGAGCAGGAGAAGAGGCTATGTTAAAAATATAGAAAATAGCAAAGATTTGTGGCTTCCAAATGTCACCCAGTGGTAGATTACAGCCAGAATTTTGTAGAAAATTGCTTATTGATAAAAGGGCTTATTGTTGGACAATGGGTTAACGAAAGCCGTGGAGGCTTGGTATCGGGTGGAAAGAGGACTCAAGCGGTAGGGTTGGTTAGAGGAAGAAATAGATTTTGGAGGACAATCGATTTATGTATATCACAGAAATGTTTGTAATGATGATTCATCTCTTGATGTTCCCCAGCCACCGCCCTATGATGTAGCCCAACACAATGTGAAAGAATCTGGCTCCGCCTCCCCAGCCACTACCCAGTCATCACCTCCAATTGGCATAGGCTCCCCTGTCCCCACCCCTCTGTACCCCGTCCTCTGGGCGGACGGATCTTATTACTATCCCATCCCTCTCCCACCTCCCTCTGTTTTTCCCACTGCTACCGCCCCATTCCCACCTCCCTCTGTCATTCCTATTGTT